AAGGGGCTGCTGTGATGTCCCGACACTTCCAGAAGGGAACAGAAGGCAAACTGACCAGTAACATCAAGGACACTGTAATGACTACTCCTTTTTAGTTTATTGATGCAAATTTAAAGTTAATTTTGTTATACTGTATGTATATTTCTACTCTTGTTTAAAGTATTTTGTTTGTATAACTCATTTGAAATTTAATATATGATTAAGAAATACAGATTAATAGTCATCTAGGATAATCAAATTTATAGTCACCTTAGTTAAATTTTCTAGGTATACATAGGTATATTTCAATTAGGTAGGTAATCTTCAAACAGTTCAAAGACCTACAGAATATGGCATTTCAAATGTTTTAAAAACTTATACTTTCTGGACAGTGAGACACATCTGCTCCTGGCAGCACCAATTTACTTCAGAGAGGAGGATGGGCATTGAAGACACTCTATAAGGAGTTTATTTTCTTCTTGGCAAAAATAGCCGTTTGGGCAAGAAACTGGTCTTGCCCTGACTGCTGATAATTATGTTGTATAAATCAGACATCCAGGACCATAAGAAGGTGACCCCTGAAGTTTCTGCTTCACAGAAGAAACTGCCAGACATTTTACAGGACACAAAGAGAAGTGACTGAGAGTCTAGGCCTGTAGGCTGAAGAAGGATGTCCCAACATTACAGAAGAACTTTGGGTAAATACCCAAGTAGCCAGCTATCTCTGTAATTCTAGATTTTTGGAAGTTGCTTACAGTGCTCTTTTTGTTTACTTAGGTAATATTATATCCTTCTGAGGTCTTTGATGTAGTTGAAGACTAGTTATAATTATAATTTTCCTTGGTTATGGTAAAAGATAAATTAGATATGAAACTTTACACTCACAAATATAGGATAGATGATAGAATATTTTCTTTAATTTTGCCAAATATAATAGACTAGATATCATAACTATAATTCTTGCTGTTCTATTATATGTAAATTTACTATGTTAAAGTAAAAACATTCCTGTTTGATTATACAGAAAAAGGGGAAGTGATGTTGAATGTCATTCTGTATGCTGTGAATGTGTGTTGCTCTGATTAGTTGATAAATAAAGCTGTTTGGCAGAACAGGTTAGGACACTAGAGAGAGAAGGAGAAAGGCAGAGCTGAGAGACACTGCTAGCCACTGCCAGAAGAAACAAGAAGTACTGGAAAGCCACAAGCCATGTGGCAAAGTATAAATTTATAGAAATAGGTTAATTTAAGAAGTAAGAGCTAGCTAGCGAGAAGCCTGATCCATTAGACCATACTATTATTAATTAATTAAGCCTCCATGTGTGTTTATTTGGATCTGAGCGGCTGCAGACCAGGCAGGACACAGAAAAAACTTCTAACTACAGCCCAGTGTTCAGCCCCTTAACCAGACATTCACACCATCCCTTCTGATGTTCAAGGAACCACACACAGGAAGAAGCACAAGGTAGGGAGAAGAGCTGTGTAAAGCTTTCCTGTCTTTCTTGTGAGCATGGGGAAGCCAGCCACGGCATCACCATCACAGTGGCTGCCCGCACTGGGCCTGCATGAGCCTGGATGGAGCGGCTCCCATGTAACCCTATCCCTCTCCTTTGAACTACTAACTACTGATGGATTCTTGGGAAGGCAAAATCATTGTTTTCAGTTGTGTTCCCTCTGATGAGATGAAATTCTGCAATGAATAGCAACAAAATCAGTCACATGGATGGCTCTGATCGAACCCAGGAGATTAGAAAACAAAACAGAAAAATGAATTTGGGAAAGGGATAGGATATATAATTGGGACAGGAAGAACATAAGTGAAAGTGAGATTAATAAAGTTGAATATATATATATATTCATATTCATATATGTATATTCATATTCATATATATATAATGTATATAATTTCAAATATATATGAAAGTTAAAAAGTGTTTTAAAGAAAATCTCATAGTGACTATAAAAAAGTCACTGAAAGAATTTTGGACAAGCATTGCTCAAGCTTTCTGGTGTATGATTATGGTTTCAACCAAATATGTCAGCAGAAGCCAAGAACAGAGGTGGGCTTACCCAGAAAGGATCTAGGTCACACGCTTCTCCCTAATAACTACATTTCTTCCAAAGCAACTTTGTTGATTTATGGGGACTTCACTGTTGTAAGTCTGCTAGCTATCCAAAGTCTGGAGCCAGGAGGGACATAGGAAAGGCTAGAATTTAAAGGGTTGTAAGAATCTGCCTGATTTCGCTAGGCTGGCTGATGTGTTGTGGTTTCTTGCATGACTGTCAATGGTTCTGAGTTCTGAACAACCTGTTCACAATTGTGCTGCCGCTCTCACTGCATTTGATGGGACAGTGATGTGTGTGTGTGTGTGTGTGTGTGTGTGTGTGTGTGTGTGTGTGTGTGTGTGTCTGTGTACTCACTTTTGCTGTTTCAGAAATGCTTCACTCAGGAAAAAAATCTAAATTTGCATGTTTTTGACAGCTAGTGATGTTGAACATCTTTTCATATGTAGATTGGCCACTTGGACTTCTGTTTGAAAACTGCACTGTTGTCGGATAATCTTTTTATGATTGGTTTAATAAAGAGCTTAATGGTCAGTAGCTAGGCAGGAGAGGACAGGTGGAACTTCCCAGGAGAGAGAGGTACTTGAGAAGGATCTGAGTTGCATGAGATTTAACCAGAGAGGTGCAGAAGGAGTGGGATGTACAGTATGGAGGAGATGTAACAATCCACATGGCAGAACACAGATTAACATAAGTGGGTTAATTTAAGTTATAAGAGCTAGTTGGGAACGAGCCTAAGCTAAGGCAAAGGTTTCATAATTAAGAAGAAGTTTCTGTGTCATTATCTGGGAATTGGCGTTCCAAACAAAGTTGAACTACATACACTGCATGGTCTAAACTTTGGTTCTTTTTTTTTTTTTCTAATAAAGTCATTGGTCTTATCCTTCATTTTTTAGTGTTTCTCATCTACAGAAGAGTCATAGCTTCAGTTGAATATGTGAGTTAGAAATGCTTCCACCATTTTAGGAAATGACTTTTAAAAAATATATATCATTATTATTTCCTTATTTTAAAAATGTTTATTTTAAATTAAAATATGATTACATTACGCCTTTTCCTTCCTTCCATTCAAACCCTCCCATGGCTCCAACTTCCTCTCAGATTGATAGCTTTTTTTTGATTATTATTGTTTCATGTATGTGTGTGTGTGTGGAGGGGGTTATTGTGAAGTCTCTACCATACTTTGTATAGGAGCACAGAGCAATTTCATTAGGCATTTCACATACCTCATAGAAATGTATACTAAAAAAAGGAAACCTAACTACACATAAATTAGACCTTAGAGTTTTAAAGGTTCTGAAATACTAAGAGACAATGGAAAGTTGTATTCCTTTGTGAGAAACATCTATATAAAACCTTCAAAACAGAAGCTTATTAGTGAATTTGATGATGAAGACATCCTTTAACACAATCTTTGAACCTGTTTATTAGTACTCAATTGTTTTCATTTTCTCTATGTCAAGGTGGTATCTATATTTGAGACTAATAGTTTTTATCATGCTACATTTCAATTCTTCAACTGACTCACGAGATCTGCTATTTTGACTTCTCTCATTTAGTCATAATATATTACTATTTATAATATATAATTTATTTTAACTTCATTCTCATTTTTATACTGATCACTTACTCAAGATCATCCCATGTAAATGAGCTCCATCCATGCCTCTGGAACTTGCCCCTAGTAAAACTCCAGCCTACTAATGAAACACTGTGGATTTGATAACCCCCAGTGCTTTGGGAAGAGATAAAATGTGAGTTGAATATTTTGGGCATTTTATTCTATCTATTCTTTAAATGCCATTTCTTTCTTCATTTTCTTCCTTCACCTTAAAAGTCACATGCAGAAAACTATAAATGTGTTCTCACCTAATTGAAGCACTTTGTACACTAGTTTCTAAGATATTTCTAAAAAAAAAAGGATAAAAGAGAAAGAAAAATGAAGCCAAATAATTTGTGTCACTTAAGTGTGTGGAATTGAATAAAAGAATGAAATAAGTGGGGCTATTGAGGGCTTCTGACTGTCTACCATTTATAAAATTATATGCACAGCTACTGCACAAAATGACCCTTTTCTATGGGATACAGAAATATACCTCTATACAAAATATAGAAAATACCCATTTGCTATTAAAAAATGCAAAAGAGATAAATACATTCTAAGTTGATATCACTTATCTTTGGAATGACATCTGAGTTTTAACACAGGCTTTTGACTTCCTTTAAAGTCTTCTATGCTCATCTATGAAATATTGCTATGTAGTTTAAACAAAGACTACTTTACAGTTGTTTTGAATTTTAGTTCAAAATTATCAAGCTGATAGAGCTGTTTTAGAACATGTAAAATATATATATTTCTGTTTTCAGAATTCTGAGTATAGTTGAAGACAGAGAATCAGGCAGTCTTAACACAAGATGTAAATTTGTAATTCAGAGACATTTATTCACATGAGTGATGTAGAAAGAACATACTTTAAAAATAATAATGCTCAATAGAACAGTAAAAATTGTTAAAACTTATATTCTCTAAATTAAAATTCTACTATGATATTGCATAAATAGATATATGGAAATAAAATGATTCTGAGTATTCGATTAAATATTATCTTTAAACATACATTGCATTTATATATCAAACAGTAGGATTAAACTAAGAAATTACATTTTTTACTGTGTAGTCAATGCAGTTTATTTTATTTTCTTTGTTATTAAACTTTATCAAGTCTTAACATATTGCTACCCATAAAAACTGTTTACAGAGAAGTATAAAAATACAAATCTAAATTTTAATTAGAATACAACATTGTGGTACAAAAAGTTGCTTCTTTTCCCTGTTCTGTCTTTCGATGACTCAAAAACTCAGAAAATAATTTTTTCTTATGAGTGACAGTAATATTTTTTCCAAAACAGAATTGAGATCAAATAACTGTAATTTTTTCCATCAACATTTTCACTTACTTTTCTACCTTGGTAGACAATGGATATCTTCTTTACTGAAGTGACATTATCCAGTTGCATGATTAAAATATGCCAAGAGACTGCCTCTGAATACATCTTCAACTAGAGTATGGTCTATGTAGACACACATACACTTACAAAAAGAAGTGTTCATTTATGAAAAGAAATGCTACAGTTATTTCTTCCTCGTACAATTTCATGATATGATTGAAAACAACTTTCATTTTCTTTGTTTGCATGAAGTGAAATACAGAAGTATTACTACATTTACCTGGAAGAGTCCAAAATATATTTTAATCAATTCCATTGATGATGTATGTAAATAATGAATCAAAATGAATAAGAAAAAATTTTAAGCCAATCAACATAAAACATCCATTTAAAATGAGGATTATATTTGAGCATGCATAATCATAGAATGCCATAAAATTCTAAGAAAATAATATTTTTCCACTCATATATTTTCAATTAATTTATTTAAGTGGTATCAGCCAAAAGGTTAATTAAGAAAGGAAAAAATAATTAAATACAATGATATAAACTAAGTTTTCTTCACTGGAAATATGAATTGCCAAGCTTATATTCTGTGAAGATTTGTCATGTATGAAATATCATCAAATGGACAGATGATAAAGAAAATTTTCACTTTCATATTTCAAATATTGTCAAGTAGTTAAAAAATACTCCTTAAATTTTATGAGTTTCCTATGAGTAACTAGTTACTTAATATTAGATGATTTTTTTCATAGCTATTACTATGGAATCAGAGGCACTCTTTAGGTTGCTATTGTCAATGTTTACTTTAGAGGTCATCATCGCAATTCACACATACGGGAATGTAATTCTGGAAGCGTCACGAAATATCACACAGATTATTAAATTGATATTTCCTATGTAGTCTATGCTGACCCTGAACTAGTGAATTTTTTTCTTGACTCAGCCACATTAATACTGAGATTTCAGATGTGCCTCACAAAATTGAACTTGAGGCAACACATTTTAGATTACTGATTTCTCTAAGTTTTAAGGTTTTTCTGCCAAGTTACTGTGAGCCTGACATTTATATTTATTATTTTTATGTTGATTTAAGTCTGAATAATATTGAAATGTGTTGTTAATCTGTGGCTATTGTAAAAAAAATGAGGACATAAAGATGTATGAGTGTTCTGAATGAGACCTACAGAAACATTAAGGTGCTGCTGACCTCTGATAAAGCTGCGGCCAATTTCTCAGATCGTTCTTTGCTGAAGAATTTGGGACATTGCCTGGGAATGATCACATTAGCTAAAAATAAGCCCATCTTGCACACGGACTTGGATGTGAAATCTTTGCTGCTAGAGGCTTACGTTAAAGGACAACAAGAGTTGCTTTACGTAGTGCCCTTTGTTGCCAAAGTTCTAGAGTCCAGCATTCGTAGTCTGGTTTTTAGACCACCAAACCCCTGGACAATGGCAATTATGAATGTATTGGCTGAGCTGCACCAGGAACATGACTTAAAGTTAAACTTGAAGTTTGAAACTGAGGTGCTCTGTAAGAACCTTGCATTAGACATCAATGAGCTCAAACCTGGAAACCTGCTGAAAGATAAAGATCGCCTGAAGAACTTGGATGAACAACTCTCTGCTCCAAAGAAAGATGTCAAACAGCCAGACGAGCTTCCTGCAATCACGACAACAACAACTTCAACAACACCAGCTACCAGTACTACGTGTACAGCCACAGTTCCACCACAGCCTCAGTACAGCTACCACGACATCAATGTCTATTCTCTTGCAGGCCTGGCACCACACATTACTCTAAACCCTACAATCCCTTTGTTTCAGGCTCACCCACAGTTGAAGCAGTGTGTGCGGCAAGCAATTGAACGGGCTGTCCAGGAGCTGGTCCATCCTGTGGTAGATCGGTCAATTAAGATTGCCATGACGACTTGTGAACAGATAGTCCGAAAGGATTTTGCCCTGGATTCTGAGGAATCTAGAATGCGAATAGCAGCTCATCACATGATGCGGAACTTGACGGCTGGAATGGCTATGATTACTTGCAGGGAGCCTTTACTGATGAGCATATCTACCAACCTAAAAAACAGTTTTGCCTCAGCCCTTCGTACTGCATCCCCACAACAAAGGGAAATGATGGATCAGGCTGCTGCTCAGTTAGCTCAGGACAATTGTGAATTAGCTTGTTGTTTTATTCAGAAGACTGCAGTGGAGAAAGCAGGCCCTGAGATAGACAAGAGGTTGGCAACTGAATTTGAGCTGAGAAAACATGCTCGGCAAGAGGGACGGAGATACTGTGATCCTGTTGTGTTAACATATCAAGCGGAACGGATGCCAGAACAAATCAGGCTGAAAGTTGGCGGTGTGGACCCAAAGCAGCTAGCCGTTTATGAAGAGTTTGCACGAAATGTGCCTGGCTTCTTACCTACAAATGACTTAAGTCAGCCTACAGGATTTTTAGCTCAGCCCATGAAACAAGCTTGGGCAACAGATGATGTAGCTCAGATTTATGATAAGTGTATTACAGAGCTGGAGCAGCACCTACATGCCATTCCACCAACTTTGGCCATGAATCCTCAAGCCCAAGCTCTACGAAGTCTTTTGGAGGTTGTAGTGTTGTCTCGGAATTCTCGAGATGCGATAGCTGCTCTTGGATTGCTGCAGAAGGCTGTAGAGGGTTTATTAGATGCCACAAGTGGTGCTGATGCTGACCTATTGCTGCGATACAGGGAATGCCACCTCTTGGTACTAAAAGCTTTGCAGGATGGCAGGGCATACGGATCACCATGGTGCAACAAACAGATCACAAGGTGCCTAATTGAATGTCGAGATGAATATAAATATAATGTAGAAGCTGTGGAGTTGTTAATTCGAAATCATTTGGTTAACATGCAGCAGTATGATCTTCATCTCGCTCAGTCAATGGAGAATGGCTTAAACTACATGGCCGTGGCATTTGCTATGCAATTGGTAAAAATTCTGCTGGTGGATGAAAGGAGTGTTGCCCATATTACTGAGGCATATCTCTTCCATACCATTGAAACCCTCATGAGGATAAATGCTCATTCCAGAGGCAATGCTCCAGAAGGATTACCCCAGCTGATGGAAGTAGTGCGATCCAACTATGAAACAATGATTGATCGTGCTCATGGAGGCCCTAACTTTATGATGCATTCTGGGATCTCTCAAGCCTCAGAATATGATGACCCTCCAGGCCTGAGGGAGAAGGCAGAGTATCTTCTGAGGGAATGGGTGAATCTATACCATTCAGCAGCAGCTGGCCGTGACAGTACCAAAGCTTTCTCTGCGTTTGTTGGACAGATGCACCAACAAGGAATACTTAAGACCGATGACCTCATAACAAGGTTTTTTCATCTTTGCACTGAAATGTGTGTTGAAATCAGTTACCGTGCTCAAGCCGAGCAGCAGCACAATCCTGCTGCCAATCCCACCATGATCCGAGCCAAGTGCTATCACAACCTCGATGTCTTTGTCCGCCTCATTGCACTGTTGGTGAAGCACTCTGGGGAGGCCACCAACACTGTCACAAAGATCAATCTGCTGAACAAGGTCCTCGGTATAGTAGTGGGAGTTCTCCTACAGGATCATGATGTGCGGCAGAGTGAATTTCAGCAGCTTCCCTACCATAGGATTTTTATTATGCTGCTGTTGGAGCTCAATGCACCTGAGCATGTGTTGGAAACCATTAATTTCCAGACTCTTACAGCTTTCTGCAATACATTCCACATCTTAAGGCCTACCAAAGCTCCTGGCTTTGTATATGCTTGGCTTGAGTTGATCTCCCATCGGATCTTTATTGCAAGAATGTTGGCACATACGCCACAGCAGAAGGGTACTCTAAGAGTGCTGCTAGTTCTTTTGCATGATTTCCCAGAGTTCCTTTGTGATTACCATTATGGGTTCTGTGATGTGATCCCTCCTAATTGTATCCAGTTAAGAAATTTGATCCTGAGTGCCTTCCCAAGAAATATGAGGCTCCCAGACCCATTCACTCCTAATCTGAAGGTGGACATGTTGAGTGAAATTAACGTTGCACCTCGAATCCTCACCAATTTCACTGGAGTGATGCCACCTCAGTTCAAAAAGGATTTGGATTCATATCTTAAAACTCGATCTCCTGTCACTTTTCTGTCGGATCTTCGCAGTAACCTACAGGTATCTAACGAACCTGGCAATCGCTACAACCTCCAGCTTATCAATGCACTGGTGCTCTATGTAGGGACTCAGGCAATCGCACACATCCACAACAAGGGCAGCACGCCATCAATGAGCACCATCACCCACTCGGCACACATGGACATCTTCCAGAATCTGGCTGTGGACTTAGACACTGAGGGCCGGTATCTCTTCTTAAATGCCATTGCAAACCAGCTGCGGTACCCCAACAGCCACACCCACTACTTCAGCTGCACCATGCTCTACCTGTTCGCCGAGGCAAACACCGAGGCAATCCAGGAACAGATCACAAGGGTTCTCTTGGAACGGTTGATTGTAAATAGGCCGCATCCTTGGGGTCTTCTTATCACCTTCATTGAGCTGATTAAAAACCCAGCATTTAAGTTCTGGAACCATGAGTTTGTACACTGTGCCCCAGAGATTGAAAAGTGAGTTGAAAATGATTTAAGTACCTAGCGGGGTGACAGAAAAGAATGCTTCTAATTTGGGTCTATGAGTTAATGGGCAGTTACAGCTGATGGACATTAGCTATCTTAGGCCTACATTGTGAAGTAAATGTGTCCTTGTCTTCACTTTCCAGGTTGTTCCAGTCTGTTGCACAGTGCTGCATGGGACAGAAGCAGGCTCAGCAAGTGATGGAAGGGACTGGAGCCAGTTAGATGAACTGTAGCCCTCCCCGGAGACGGCAGCCTTGGTCCCACTGAACCAAGATGATAAACTGAAGAGTCCTTTCAACTCCTCCTGACTTTCCCAGCCCTTTGGTTCTTGGGTGTCGGCCCCATCAATTGCTGGGGTTGGCCTCCTGTCTATATGGGCAAGTTCCAAAGTTTAAATGCATTTTTTTTGACTCTTGGCCAAAATTTAGAAGATGCTGTGAATATCATTTTGAACTTGTGTAAATATATGAAAGAGAAAAAAAAAGATGTAAGAGTGTGCATATTAGTGTGTTTGAAGGAGGTAAATAAAGGGGGAAATCATATTGTAATCTCAAATTTAAGTCATTGAAAATACTAAATTTTTTCTGTCATGCATATTTTCTGCCTTGAAAATACTATTTTATTGAATTGTATTCTAATTGTGGTATCATGAGTCACTATAGCTTAAATTTATTAGCAAACATGTTGATTTTTAATATTCTGTACATCAATACAACACAATGTTATACTTGATGAAACACAGTTGAATTTTCACAATAATATCAGGAGATTCATATGGAAAAATAAGTTTATCTTGGCAAAATATTTTTTCTTTAAGTTTCTAAGCTATCTGATAAAAAGACCATAAGAATCTGTACACACTTTGGTTTGCATTCTTTCAGTTTGCATCTATGATACAAAAACATCCCGAGACAACATATAAATTTCTTGGTTTATTTATGTGTTAATAAAACTACAGGTATAAATAAAGACCAATATAATGTTATATTGTCTTTCTCATCACTTGGAAGTCATTGAAAACTTACCAATTTTTAACTGCAACTCTATCCTAATTCAAGTTTTATGAAGGACACCTGGCCAGAAGTTACATATGTCCACTCCTATATGTGATGGGATTCTAATGTCAAAAAGTGATAATAATAAACTATAATATCATGAATAATTATTACAATTGTGGTTTTAAAACTTTAAAAAGGTTTTGATTTAAGAAAAATTACTAGAGATGAGAATATTGAAATAATGTGCCTTATTACATTAAATAAACATGTTAAAGTAGGGACTAGACAGATTTTTTTTATCCTAACATGACACAGTCATAAAAACAAAAAATTATATATATATATATGTTTGTGTTTACATTTTATATATTTAATTTTAATTATTACATTTTATTAAAATATATTACATTTTATATTGCATTTTAATTAAAGATAATAAAGTATGGACTATACATATTATTGTGTCCTCAAATGACACATTCATAACAACAAAAGAACAATTTTATATATGTGTGTACATATTTACATATTTATTTCTTACATGTACACTGTTATTTAAATACATGAATTAGTTTTCGAGTTAATGTGTTATCAGTGACACCAAACAATATATATTTACTTTTAGTTCTATTTTTTGGGGGGTGAACTGCTTGAATAACGTATATAGGATTTTTAAATACCTGTAGTTAAATTCTTTTTTTTCTCACACAGAAAAATATGAGTAAGAACTGTACATTGCAGCTTTGCCTTCAGCCACATCACTGAGATATATTGAGTACGGTGACTCAAAGGCTATGAAGCTCACACTGGATTTCAGTGTGCGTCTTTAAAACTCCAGGCATGGTGCAATTTTCTGAATTATTCACACATAATCACTACAGGGTATTACACTTACGCATCATGGAAAAGTGCCTTAGAGCAGACAGGCATGAAGAGCCTTGCCTATGGGTGGAATGCATTAGTATGATGATAACACAGCATTCACTGCCTTAATGTGTTAAATTTACCTATTCGCTGATGGTGGCCCAGATAATGATGATTCCAGATGTCTACAGTGAGCATTTAATCATCATTTTCTTCACTTATTTGTTATTAGACGAATATAGACTCTAAAATGAAGAAGAAAAGGACTAATCCAGTAAGTGGTACTGATTCTACATTACAGAGTCAGTTAGACATGTCCATCAGAAGCATGCCCAGCAGAAATCATGGATTAAGTAAGTTCTATGTTTTAAGCTAAGAAGAATACTATAATTACTTCTGTAAATAGCCCATTTTTAAAAAGAAAATACTTTCTATCCCAAAATCTAAGAGATTTAAACTGAGATACATGTGAAATAAGGTCTCAGTTTAAAAACTATAATTGAAGTGCAGATTAAGTTTAGCATAAAATAACAGCTCAGGTTTACAAAAATAAAAGAATTTTGATATTCTATAGAATTACAAAATTTAAAACATTGCCCTTTGATAAATGAAGTTAGGAAAAATATACCATTTACGTATTTTTATAGTGTTTTACTACATTTATAAAACTGATTGTCATGTGAATACCTATCCTCTCAATTAAAAATCTAGTGAGCTTTCACAATTCAAACATGAGACTAGTGGCACAAGCCTTGATGTATGTGAAGACTTGATGCTAGACTGAGTTGACTATAAATGGCATTTTGAAATAATTTCATTTTCTTTAACAAGAATGCAGCTGGTAGAACTACAAAGGGCCAGATCCTGTAGGATATATAAACTGCAAATGTGCACTGATGTCTAATGAGAACGTATACTTTTCTTAGAAAAACAACCTCATAATGCTCCAAAAAGTCTGTTCAAAACCAAAATAGGAAACAGCATAATCTGTAAAGAAAAGAAAAATGGATACAATCAAAAAATGTTACAGCCAGGCGGTGGTGGTGCATGCCTTTAATCCCAGCACTCGGAAGGCAGAGGCAGGTGGATCTCTGTGAGTTCTAGGCCAGCCTGGGCTACCAAGTGAGTTCCAGGAAAGGCACAAAGCTACACAGAGAAACCCTGTCTCGAAAAACAAAACAAACAAACAAAAAAAATGTTACAAGCACCAGGAAAGGCTATTTGTATTTGTCTTATCTACTTTTCTATTGCTGTAAAGCAACACAATGACCAAGGCAACTTATAAAAGAAAGTATTTGATTTGAGACTTGGTGTTCCAGAGGGTAGTAGAGTCCATGCATGCATGAGTTTGTAGCTCTTCCCGAGAGCTTACATGTTGAGACAACAGTCACAAAGTAGAGAGAAGCTAACTGGGAATGGATTTTTAAATGTGAAAGCCCATCCACAGTAACACATCTTCTCTAGAACCACACCTACCAATCCTTTCCAATCAGTTCCAAAAACTGTAGAGTAATAAGAATTCAAATATGTGAGCATATGGGGGCCATTCTCATTCAAACTGACCACAGTATTAGTTTTAAGGCAATGAATGTAGACAAATTGCTAAATGGACTTATTAAATAAAAAAATAAAAATAAAAAAAAACACACAAACACAGAGCCACATTTAGGGGTGAAAACTTGAGAGATCAGAGGAATAGAAAAAAAACACAGCTAACCTCACCTCACTGACAACTCAGTCTCAAAAGAGAGCTTCTTCCTGTATACCCACACCTATATTCCTTTTGGTTTTATTAACTCATTTGCTCTCTCAGACCAGCTGCATCACTTCCTCTTCCTACCCAGCTTTGTCACTTCTTGTCTGTCTGTACAGACCTCCAGACCTCTATGGTTAGTGCTGAGATTAAAGGTGTGTGTCACCAAGGTTGGTTCTGTTCCCATGTGTGGCCTTGAACTCACAGAGATCCAGACAGATCCCTGCCTCCCAAGTGATAGGATTAAAGGGGTGTGCTACCATTGCCTGACTTCTATGTTTACTTATAGTGGCTGGCCTTTTCTTCTGATCCTCAGATAACTTTTATTGGGGAACACAGTATATTGGGGGACACAATACAACACCACAAATGGAAAATGTACACAGAGGGAATATAGAGTGAGAAGGGACAGAAGCAGACTGAAGGCAAGTTTAAGAAACATGATTTGTGGCCAATTCATTGTGTAAATGTGCAGCTTGCATGTACTTCCCAAGACAGGAAATGATGGTCAACATGGAAATAGGATTTAAGATGAAAGTCCAGGGAGCAGACTCAAGGGATATCCCCACCAGTGAGAATCCAGGTTGTACCAAAAAGCTAACAGTAACTCTCCTTTTCTAACCAAGTACATTACATCATCATTTTGATAAATTTCATGTTGGTTTGATAAGAGCTGAATTAAGTAAAAATAAAACAGTTTTCTGGACTTCGTGAAACCCACCTTTAGTGCAAGCATTCTAGAGTGAGAGGCTGAAAGATATCTGTGAGTTGAAGCAAGCCTGGTTTACACAGTACAAGTTTCAAGTCTACCAGAAGTATAATGAGACTCTGTCTCAATTAATTAATAAATTAATTAAGAAGGGAGGAAAGAGTTTTATTAATTAAGAAAGAAGTAAGGAGAGAGAGGAGAGAGAGAGAAAGAGAGAGAGAGAGATTTTGGCAAATATTTTTTTGCAGTTTTCATTATGGTAATTCAGTTAATAATCTTCAAATTAGCTAAAATAGTTGTGTGAATAAATTCATTCAATTTTCACTGTTCTTTACTTTAACAAATAAAATCTATACAATAACAATGATACTGAATGGAAAATTGAAAAATACATATGATTTTTATAATATGCACCTAATTTTAGTCAATCTATGTCGATATAGACTATTTTACTATATGTGCCCATTATATTTCTTTGACAATAACTAAGAAATACAAGCCAAACTATAATTAAATGCATATTTTTACATATGTTTTTCTTTAGCTATGGAATTAATAGGTTATTTTCTCAATTTTATTTCATAGAAATACTATATCAGAATATTTTATTTTGTACCCTTAGGAGTGCAGAATTTATGTAATTCTTGATTGGTTTCAGGCTGAAACGCACAAGAAAAATAAAATGCAATAAAAGGAGGTAATTTTATTTTAGGAAATATACTTTCTGGGATTTGTAATATAAAATCATATTTTAAAGATTAAATAACTTTAAATTAAAGATTAATAAATTAAATAATACCCACACCAATATTGTATTTCTATATATTCCACTCCCTAGCTTTCTGAAAGGGGAGATTTTGTACTAAAAGCTGATATTTTAATTTTATAACACTGAAAATATTTTAAAATTGACAGGTTGATACAGGTTTATGAGTTGTAACTCATATTTGAGTAGTGATATATTACTAATCATTATATGTGTTTTTGATAAAACTGACATGCTTTTTAGTAATTTTTTTTCAAGACAGGGTTTCTCTGTGTAGCTTTGCACCTTTCCTGGAATTCACTTGGTAGCCCAGGCTGGACTCAAACTCAAAGAGATCTGCCTGCTTCTGCCTCCCAAGTGCTGGCATTAAAGGTGTGTGCCACCACCGCCCAGCT